GCGATTGACATTGCATTCACATTTTTGCAGGTTTATGTTGGCTGGGAAGCATGGAGCCGGAAGAGAGGTCAACAAGCGAGAAGTGCGAGAAAATAAACTTTTAGCATAGAAGTTACGAATACACCTAGATAGATTAACACTAAACTGATGACCTCTTACTGCCACTCTTGTATTGCGCTTAAATTCATACAGTCAACCTAACACCTCCTCCAAGCAATCGCAAAGGAAGTATATATATATATATATATATATATATATATATATATATATATATATAAATGCAACCTTAGGCTGGTAGGTAAGTGACTGAAGCCGAGCCGCCAGATCAGCATCAATAATATTGCTGATTTTTTCTTGGGATTTTATCAGGGATTTCCACGTAAATAACAGGGGCACCAAGCCATATCTGGCAGCGATATTCTAAACATGGCCGAATGATGGAATTGTAGAAATGCAAGATATATTCAGGAGAGAAAAATTCTCTCGCTCGGCACAGTCAACAGACTTTTTTTAGCAGATGACCCAGCAATGGATTCAATATAGTCTTTCCACTTCATGTCAGCTGAGAACGTTACTCGAGAAGGCGCAACGAGTCGCTTTCCTGGAGGTTAGCATCAGCCATAATGTTGGAAGACACACGCACACATATATATATATAATATTAGTGGTCAATGTGTGTGTATATATATATATATATATATATATAAATTCCCAAAAGGATAGAATCCAGGTAGAACTCAATGTCCAGGAAAAAGTAAGAATATAATTTAAAAGGCTCAAATGCTAATATTCCATGGTTATAATTTATTACATTGGAATCGTAATCACGATACAATTCATCAGACCTACAAATTCAAAAAGAAATCGGAATATATATATATATATATATATATATATAAAGCATAACGGATCAATTGATGCTTACCCCTACAACGTGGGACACAGGTTCGATCCTGCTGGAGAACACATTTTCTTTACATGATTTCCCGAATCCGCAGGCCAATAGATGTAATAAACACTGTTTAATAAAAAACAATACGGCGTCTGTTCCAAATACGAAGTATCGGTTTTAATAATATTTGAAATCATAAAAAAATGTCGAATTAAAAATAAATTCAATAATTCTTTAGAAATGGCTTCATAAAATTATTGTGCATGTTCTGGCTGCTCGGCTTCAGTCACTTTGTCACCGCCGTAAGGTTGCCTCCCTTTACCTTTTCTGTTAATACTTTCATGTTAATAGTTCAGATGAGCTTATCACTAAAGCACCTCAAGCTTTTTTTAAAAACTTATGCGCAGTAATAGGCTGGCTTCAAGCTCTCATCAATTTGCAGCTGAGAACAATAAATTCTATGGTAACAATTTATTTTCTCGCACTTCTCACTTGTGGAACTTTCTCCTGTCTGCAAAATCTGCAAATTTAATCTACAAAAGTTTAAATGCAATGTGAATCGCTATCTACTTTTCACATGATTACTCTCCTTTTGTTCTCGCTCTTCAGCAATGTTTTTGCTTCTAACTCTTCGACACCCAGTAACGACTTATGTCTCAGTGGCTAATATTGCCTTTCATGGGTTGAACTCGATATATATATATATATATATATATATATATATATATATATATATATATATGCATGCTTTGTGCGTGAATTTGTGTCTGTTTAACTATGTGGCCTAACCTTGACCAAGCGCCTTCTAGTGTTGTGTTTATAAAGGCGATTGATCGAACCATTCCTATCAACACGATTGCTCGAGCCTTTTCCTCTCCAGTACGTGAATATCTTTTCAAGAAGACGTTTATAAAACAGAATTGTTTTCTTGCTTCTTCTAAATCGCATTAATGGTAACTTACGAACAGTGGGTTGGGCAAGCATTGCGGCCAGTGATTGGTTATTTAAGAATAAAACAAAGATGAAAAAGGGGAAAAGAAAAGAAAAAAGACAAAGGTGTTAGACATAACTAGACATCTTATATATATATATATATATATATATATATATATATATATATATATATATATATATATATATATATATATATATATATATATATATATATACACTGACACAGACACACACAGACACACATACATGTGGTTAGAACGTTCGCTTTCTGAAGATGGGACCCGGGTTCGAATCTCACCATGGTCGATTTGTCAGGAAGGTGATATCTTGATTATCGGTCCGGAGGAGGCGATCCCCGTGTACGGCACCTTTAGAAAATGCCTGAAAACAATACCACGGTTTGAGCCCAAACTTTGTGAGTGAAATTGGATAGACGGAACTGTTTGGGGAGTCGTCGATTGTTGTGTTAGCAAGTCATCGTGACAGAGGGTTTGTGCGTGCTGGCCTTGTTCAAAATGGTGATCACGCCAGTTTATCCGCTCAGTTGGACTCTGTGGGACTTGAACAAATAGATATTGGCTAGCCTCTCTAGTAGAACGGCATCCTCCGATACGAATCCACACACACACACACACACACACACACACACACACACACATATATATATATATATATATATATATATATATATATATATCACTGCCACTAAAACTCATGAAGTTGGTACACCATTGAGACCTATTCTATCTATGATTGGTCTTCTCAACACGGTGTGGCTAAACGGTTTTCCATTATACTAAAGATGGTTTTGGAGCAGTATGACTCTGCTTGTATTAAACATTCTTTTAAAAATTTCCCGTTTTGTGCAGTGTTATTTGCCTACGGATAAATTTATGTGTTCATATGATATCGCCAGTTTATTTATTTGCGTTCCGCTTGCTGAGACTATCGATATTTATGCTGATGCCTTATATCGTATTCAATTGTCTCCGCCTCTTATTCCGGAAGACGTGTTTGTTGAACTGATGAAAATTTCCACGATGTCAGTTGAGTTCATGTATAGGCAGATTGATGGTGTTTCGATGGGTTCCCCTTTGGGGCCCATCTTAGAAAATATCTTTGTTGGGTTCCAGGAAGAGCGTGTACTACTAAAATCTGATAAACCTGACGTTTATTTCTGTTACGTTGATGACACTTTTTGTCTCTTCGATAACGAGATTAAAGCAGACCAATTTCTTGCATCCCTTAACAATATACATCCAGCCTTGAAATTTACACAGAAAAAGGAGGTATATTCATCTCTTCCCTTTCTGGATGTACTGGTCAGCAGATCTGCGTCGGGTTTTATTACTTCTGTGTATCGTAAACCGACGTTTGCTGGTTTGTATATCCGTTGGGATTCCTTTTGTCCCAGGAAACGCAAAATTAATTTAATTGTTGTGGTAGGATCCACCTAATTTGCATAGTGGAGTACCGACCATATAAATATGGTTGGTACCGGGAAGAGAGGGAGGAATCAAGAGATTCAACCAGAGACTCTGCCCGACTGCGACTCAGTCAACACATTCTCCAGGAACGGTCTTACCAGGAATATACAAAAGGCTATATGTAAATATTGTGTACACTTTCTTGTTTCAATACATTTTGTTCTAAGTACATTTTGTGTTGCATTATTATTACATGCATTAGTCAAGTTTCAACATTAATTAAGACCCTTACTCATAGGGCTCTCATGATTTGTTCCAGCATCAAGTTAGATGATGAACTCAGGTTTATTATTTCTACCCCCTGCAACAATGCCTACCCATTGAGCATTGTTCATTCAATTATTAAGAACAAAATTGCTGAATTTAACAAAGTGAAACCCGCTATAGTAAAAAGATGTCCTTTGTATCAACGCCTTTCTTGGCTAAGCAGGTTTCTACCGCAGTTCGACATTGTTACTTTGCCGCTAATACTCGTGTTGTTTTCTCTGCCCGGCCTATTCTTCGGTCTATACATAAGGATATTCTCCCACCACACCATAATAGTTCACTAATTTATTCCTTTAAATGTCGTTGCGGTTCGCACTACATAGGGAGAACGATGCAAAGGCTAGATGATAGAATAAAGAGACACGTTCTAGCGAAAATCCGAAACCGGAAGTACACTTCCTCGGACATTCTGATTAATACCTATGGGTCTTCTATCGCAGAATATCTTATAAATAGCCATAATTGTGCTGTTAGTTTTTTGCTATCCACGCCATCCTTTATCATATGCCATAACCAAGAGTCAGCAATGTGGAATGTTTATGGACAAAAATGCTCTCAGAGTAAAGCATGGTGTAAACATAGGTGTTTCGACTCTGTGGAAATAGCGTAGCGTATCCTTTCCGTAAAGTTATGAACTGGTAGAACTAAAGACTGGAGCACTTCTGAAAAATTGCCATTGACATAGCGATCGGGTAGTAACAGGCTTGCAACGTTGCATCTGTTTGATAATGGTTACAGTTTGAAAAATAATTAATTTGCCACAAGACAGCGTAGCAGATTTTGAACCTTCAAATATGAGTCAAATATGAGTTCCACTTGAGGTCTGGAATGAACTTGAAGCACAACTGTGAAATATCAATCTGATCTTAACAATAAGAGCGCTGTTAAATCTTAGCCTTGTGCCACATTAATCTAAACTTAAAAATGTTAATTATTGGGCTTCCTATAGCTAATTATTCACTCAAACACGCAGATTTGATCTTTTAGTGGTTCTGATTCCTTCCATGGCAACCCACACTATCAGCCTTGTGCCAGACAAAGCAGTTGTATAATTGTCAAGAATAGAAATAAACAAGATGTCGTGTAAAAGCTGGAGTTCCAGGGAAAAATAACGAATGTATTATTTCAAATATAAGAAAGGATTTCTCTCAATTTACGCACAAGAAGTGTTTAATAAGTTCAAACGAGTCTAGAATTGGTCCGCTTGCTTCATAGTTAAAATTATGCTGAAAGAGAGAGAAATGAAATAAAGCATTTTAATGTGTGAGAGATAGAGCTGAAAAAGACTGAGATATGAACGTGTGAAAGAAAGGGAAATGAATGAAAACTTGATAGAGAAAATCGTTCAGGAAAGATTAAGAAATGAAAGAAAACTTAATAAACGAACATGAATGAAAGAACTAGAAATGAAAGTTATCTGAAGAAGTGAATATGTGAAGAAAATGAAAGAAAAAAGCAAAGAAAATATGAAGGAAAAAAGAAAGAAAAATGAGAGAAAAAATGAATATCTGAATGAGAGAAACAGAAAGAACAAAACACAGCTTGCGAAAATTGAAGAAAATTCTCTTTAAAAGAAGAAAAAAATGAAGAATCACTCTAACAAAAAAAGAAGTGAAGATGTTAGTAAAATGAAAGAAAAAAGGAAAGACAAAATAAAAGAAAATAATGAAAGAAAAATTGAAAGAAAAAATGATAGAAAAATAATAGTAAAAATGAAGGAAAAAATGAATAAAATTTAACAAAAAATGAAGTAAAAAATAAAATAAAATAAAAATTGAATATCTGAATGAAAGAAACAGAAAAAACAAAACACAGCAAGTGAAAATTGAAGAATTCTCATTCAAAGAATAAAAAAAAAATCACTCTAAGAGGAAATAAATATGTGAAGAAAATGAAAGGAAAAAGAAAGAATAAATAAAAGAAAAAATGATAGAATAATGAAAGAAAAATGATAAAAAAGAAAGAAATAATGAGAGAAAAATGAAAGAAAAAATGAAAGAATAAATGAAAGAAAATGTGAGAGAAAAAATGAAAGTAAAAATGAATATCTGAATGAAAGAAACAAAGAAGAAAAACACAACGAGCGAAAATTTAAAAAAAAATCTCATTAAAAGAAAATTTAAAAATCAACTCAACAAAGAAGAAATGAATATGAAGAAAATGAAAAAAAAGAAAGAAAAAAGAAAAGAAAAGGGAAAGTAAAAAATGAAAGAAGAATGACAGAAAAAAATGAAACAAAAAATGACAGAAAAATTAAAGAAATAGTGAAAGATAAAAATTGACAAATTCTCATTAAATAAGAAAAAAATGAAAAATCCAACAAAGAAATGAATATGTGAAGAAAATGAATGAAAAAATGAAAGAAAAATAAAATAAAAAATGAAAGAAATAATGAAAGAAAAAGTGAAAGAAAAAAATGAAAGAAAAATAAATATCTTAATGAAAGAAACAGAGACAACAAAACACAGCGAGCGAAAATTGAAAAAAATTCTCTTTAAAAAAAAAAGCAAAAATGACAAAATCCATCCAACAAAAAAAAAAAAATTAAAAATAAGCATGGGACGGAATAAAAAGTAAAACAAAGTTGAAACAGTTTAGAACTAAATATCAGCGAAATAAATAAATAAATAAATAAAGAAAGAAAGAAAGAAAGAAATAAAGAAAGAAAGAAAGAAAGAACGAGAGAAAGAAAAAGTAAAATAAAACAAAGAGAACTAAGAAGAAAAAAACAGAAGCAAAGACGGGGAGAAAAAGAAAGGACGAATAAGGAAATAACACGTAGAGAAAGAAGAGAAAGAGAAGTTAAGGGAAAAGAGAAATAGAAAGCAGAAAAAAAACCCTGAAAATATGCATTAAAAAAATAAATAAATAAATAAAGCAACAAAGATAGAACACAGAAATGGAAATGATGAAAAAAAAAAAGACACCAAGAGAGATACGAGAGAAAGAAAGAAAGAAAAATTGTGAAAGAAAGTAAAAATTAATAAACCCTGAAGGAACATTGAAATCAAGAGAGATAAGAAAAAGTGTACAAGAAAGAAAGAAAAAAGAAAGAAAGAAAGAACAAAAATATGTGAAAGTAAAAAGATAAGAAATGAGAACAAAAGTAAAGGAAAAAAGAAAGAAAGAAAGGAAAACAAAGTAAAAAGAAGAGAAAAGGACTGGCGAAGAGAGTAATTAAGAAAGAAATAAGAACAGGTTTAAAAGAAAGAAAGAAAAAAAGAAAGAAAGAAAGAAAGAAAAAGAAGGAAATAAATAAAGAAAAACAATATGTGAAAAAAGAACGTAAGAAACAAAACCAAAGTCTGAAGGGAAAAAAAGAAAGATAAAGAAAAGGGCAAAATCAGAAAGAAAGAAAAAGAAAGAACCAACTTAAGAAAGAAGAGAAAATAGCTGATTGAAAAAGTGATCAAGAAAGAAATTTAAAAAATAGAAAGAAAGAAAGAAACATGAACAAGAAAACATGGAGGAAGTAAATCAAGAGAAATAAAGAAAAGGGGAAAGCAGAAAGAAAGAAAGAAAGAAAGAAAGCAAGAAAGAGAGAAGGAAAGAAAGAAAGAAAGAAAGAAAGAAGGAAAGAAAGAAAGAAAAAAGAGAAAAACATAAAAAATGATAAGACGAAACAACGTAAGAAAGAACAAAGAAGTTACGGAAAAGTAATCAAGAAAGAAATAGAAAAGAATGAAAACAAAAAAAATGATACAGAGAAAGGATGGAACAAAGAACAAAGACGGAAAAAGAAAGAAAGAAATCCCGCAAAAAGAAAGAAAAAAGAAAGAAAAAAAGAAATCCCGCAAAAAGAAAGAGAAGGAAAAGTTGAACCAACAAAAAAGTAAGATAAAGAAAAAAACCTTCTCAAGATTTTTTTCTTGATGGCGTCAAATACCATCTTTAACTGTGAATCGATTATCATGATAGGATCCGAATATGTTGAAGATCGATCATCAATCAACATGCCATTTGATTTGCATAATTAGATACAATCTCCGCCCCCGTCTCTCGCCCCCATTTTTCGTTGCTTTCATTCCAGCACAACCTACCTTTGCAGATGTACAGACTCACAAACCCCCGTCTCCCACATTTTGCCACCACCCGCACTTCCAAAGTTGTCTCGGATTCCTGGCCAACCCAGAAGGTCATGGCGTCCTTTTAGCTTTCTTTACTTCAAGAAAGCCAGGAGCGTAGGGGAAAGAAACAGTTTAGAAAAGCGTTTAAATAAAAATGGCACTCTCTTTCGCTTCACTTTGCTTGTGTTGTTTTGAAATTTTGCTTTCTCGCGGGCAAAAGTACACTTTGGAAAAGTTCAGAGATACGAAAACAAAACCTAGGAAATAAAATAAATGAATAAAAAATAAGAAAAAAGTTATCTGAATAAAAAAAAAAACCAAAAAACAAACAAACAATTGAATAAAAAAATATATATAAGGAAAAAATCTTTAAATTCTATAGTTTTTTCTTCTTTTTTTAATGTTAAGTATTTTTATTTTATTTTATTTTTTTTTTATTTACAATAGCTGTTCTTATACGGGCATTTTTTTTCTAAAGCGATGTTTTCTGGGTATTACTCTTTTTAATTCAGTTTGGTATTTCGAAAGAAAGAAGTGATCTTCTTCAATATGGGAAGGGATAGGATCTGTTTTTAGTGACGAACTAATCTTTTTTTTTTCTTGTTTATTTTATTGTATCTTCACATGTGAAAAAGCGTAGTCAAAGGGTAGAGCGGTAACACCCTCGCCTTAAAATAAAATTCATAGTAAAAAAAAAAAGAAGAAAATTTATAGTAAAAAGAAAAAAAAGAAACATACACAATCCGTAAGCAGAAATAGTTGTCAGTTAAAGACGACGCTCATAGCTATTTAAAAAATCTATATCAAACAGATGAAAACTAGCAAAATGTCGTTTCTCGAGAAAGATCAGGCGGCGTCGATCATTCATTCAAAGCTAAATACTGGATTTTTTTTTTGATTAAACAGAAACGGAAATGTTTTAATGGAGATTTGGATCTTTGTGAAGGTGATAGTTATTCTTGGAGCAGTGGTTGGGATGGAACTGGTAATTACATTGTGCGTTGATGTTACTTCTCGTGATAAGTAGTGGCATTTACACTGTAGAGTCAAAGAAAACAGTGGTACTATGTTTTTTAATAGAATTACAATAAAAAAAAACAGTTCAGGTTTCATGATTTAGCTTGTAACTGAAATAATACTGATATTTAAGATATTAAAGGTAAATTTTTAATGTAAATAAAAATATTTACAAGAAAATAGAAAAATTAACGGGCGAAAGAGTAAGGGCAAGTAACAAAAAAAATGGACACCTTAAAAGTGATGGCTAGTAAAATTATAACAACAAAAACGACCAAAACTGAGCTTATCAATCCTCGCTCTTCAGAGCCAATCGAGGATAAAATATATGTGCACAACAACTAAAAAAAGAGAGGGAGAAAAATGATTACTACCAGTCATTTTTGTCCTAGATTGGTCCTGAAGAGCGAGGATCGATTACTGGTTAGCACCTTTTTGGTTATTTTTGTTGTTGTTGCTGTTGTTAAAAATATATGTGCTCAATGACTAGAAAAGAGGAGATAGAAACAATGATTACTACCAGTCGTTTTTGTCCTAGATTGGCTCTGAAGAGCGAGGATCGAATGACGGTTAGCCCCATTGTTGTTATTTTGTTCTTATTTTTTTCGATCCAGCACTTTTACGGTGAGGAAGTGTTTTTTTTCTTATCCTTGCTTTTCCTGCCCCTTTCTTTGATATTGATATATACGCTTAAAATCAAGATTAATAATAAATTGCATAATAACCGTGTTCTATATGATGGGTCCTTTCAGGAAGTGGCTGATCATAGCTCTTCACAACTTCCTATCCATTGTAGCTCTTAGCAATGTTTTTCTTTTTACTATCCTTTGCAATCTTTGTTCTTTGACACAAACTCGTCAGGTAGGTGATTCATTGTTTTTTTTTTTTAACCTCCTTGCCTTTATTTTGTTTGAGATCAAAAATTGTATTTTTAATTAATCATGCATACTAACGTTAATCTCTTATTAATGTTTGTTTTCAAATCTTGATGCCTCATTTTGATTTTTGATTTTTAACGTGATAGTAAAACTATTTCAGAAGCATTTCTACAGAAAAAAAACAGCCATTAATAATTGTCGTCTGCTTTATCTGGTATACAATAATTTAATTCCTTCTATGCGAATCGCTTCCTTTATGATGGCGTTTATGTCTAATTTTACTGCCAACGTGTAGTTTCATGACTATACCCTTGGGCAAATTAAAACAAACGCTTTAGATTCCTTTCAATCGCCATACGGTCAGTTTTTGACCCACTGATTTTCCTCAGATACGGTCATTTGCAGTGGTGTAGAGTAATATGAATCTCTTTTCGGGGTCTGTGATGAAATTTATTTGGCCTTGAAAAATATTGCGTCATCTGTGATTTCATCAGATTTTTATCACGCCCAGTCATTATTATCGATTAGTTCTCCTATGGCCATTGTCTGCGATGGACGTTACTCCAAGGAAGCGTACGAAAAATTATAACGCTGCACGAACACACTAGCAAGCCTTACCAGTGAGCAAATCAAAGTACCATAGACTGGTCCGGAAACTCTCCTGATTTAAATCCAATCGAGAATCTCTGGTCCATTAGCAAGGAACAACTTCGTGGAATGAACATACGAAGTACTAATATGTGCACTGGGTCATGTTTCATTGGAAAAATCCGAAAAATAAAAGTAAATAATAACGGAATTCGTTTTGTCTCAATTAATTTTTATCACACCCGGACATTATTGTCTCGACGATCGATTAGTTCTACTACGGCCATTGTCTGCGATGGACGTTACTCCAAAGAAGCGTACGAAAATTGTAACGCTGCACGGACACACTGGTAAGCCTTTCCAGTGAGCAAATCAAAGTACTATAGACTGGCTTGGAAACTTTCCTGATTTAAATCCAATCGAGAATCTGTGGCCAATCTGCAAAGAACGACTTCATGGGATGGACATACGAAGTACTAACATGTGCACTGGTTCATGTTTCAGTGGAAAAATACGAAAAAGATAAATAATAACGGGATTATTCGTTTTGTTTCAATTAATTTACACAAGGGTGTAGAGACTTTCATTTTCCCCAAAACATGCTTCCATCATCCATTCCCTATCGCCATTACGTTGGAGTTTGTTTTGTTTTTTTGCTATAATGTTCACACTGTACACAGTCTGCTTGTCACTCGTAGTAGAGTGTTACGTTAAGGGGTAGTTTATACGGACAAGGGGGATAACGGTTTACTCTAGACTTGAACAAGTTAAGATTGTAGTGATTTGAAAACATCTTCTTGGGAGTCGGTTCAACGGGGCAGGGGTTCGCTGAAAGAAGCTATAAGAGTGGAACTGACTCCTCACCGATGGAATATTGACGGGATGTATACTGTTTGCTACAATATAATTGACATGGCGGATTCTAGCCGTGAAGGATAGTGTTGTCGTAGGATCCACCTAATTTGCATAGTGGAGTACCGACCATATAAATATGGTTGGTACCGGGAAGAGAGGGAGGAATCAAGAGATTCAACCAGAGACTCTGCCCGACTGCGACTCAGTCAACACATTCTCCAGGAACGGTCTTACCAGGAATATACAAAAGACTATATGTAAATATTGTGTACACTTTCTTGTTTCAATACATTTTGTTCTAAGTACATTTTGTGTTGCATTATTATTCCATGCATTAGTCAAGTTTCAACAGATAGACCTAGTGGAACTAAGGAATGTAGTTCGTCCGAGCACTTTCCATAGTAGTAGCGATAAAACAGTGAGAGACTCGTCGAATCCCGCCTGTGAGAAAGAGATTGGAGAAAGAGGAAAATAATTCGTCACCCAAAAGGACTCGGGGCCATCTTTGAATTCTATCAAGACTGGAAACTGAGCACTGGCCAGCTCCCGTCCAAATATGACAACAGGCGAAAGAAAAGAAGTAGAAGAAAGTGTCGACGCTGTTATTTGTTTAATATGGGTCTCAACTTGTGAATTGACCCCTACACGTTACTTCATGACCTTCCACTGCGGCATATATATATATATATATATATATATATATAAGCATTTCACTCCAAGCGTGGACGTAGTGCTACTATTGCGCAGGGGGTTACTGAGATTGAATGTAAGAGAAATGACTGGGTATAAGGAGGAAAGGATAAAAAGAAGTACGGAGATCAAATCATCAGAAGAAGCCAACATTGCCTTTAAATTTTTGGAAGATTATAGTTATCAGAAAAGCAAGTAAGGGAAGAGAGTCCCAGTGTCGCTAAATTCGAGAGGAGAAACTGCTGGAGTAGAAGAGGCGATTACGCTTAACTGCTTCAACATTAAAAAGGTGGGTCCTAGATGTTAACCTAAATGTCTAACCTTAAATTCATGCAGTCGGGGTGCGAGTGAAAACAGCTCGTCAGGTGCCATGAAAATATTTTAGAAAAGACAGAGGGAAGCCACATCACATCTGTGAGAAAGCGACTGGAGCCGAGATGCTAAATCAAGACCGATCACATTGCATATCCGTCTCTTGATTTTGTCGAGAACCTGGTGATGAACAGCAGGGGGGGGGAATCAGACCATATAGGGCAACAGTATTCCATACATGGATGAAGGGTAGATTTGTAGATTGGAAGGATGGACTCAGACGAGAAATATCTTCTGGTACGACACAGGGAACCAACTTTCCTTGCGGTAGATGAACCTATTGATTCAATATCGTTGTTCCACCTCAGGTCACTGGAAAAAGTGAGGCTAACTAAGATATATATATATATATATATATATATATATATATATATATATATATATATATATATATATATATATATATATGTGTGTGTGTGTGTGTGTGTGTGTGTGTGTGTGTGTGTGTGTGTGTGTGTGAATAAAACTTAGTGAGCCAGAGCCTACCTAGCTATTTTTCTCTTAACAGATCATCAGGGTAATACTATTCTACTCAATGTATTGAACAATTTTACGTTTTAACTTAAGTGTTTAAGTTTTAACTGTCGGTGTTTTATCATTTGGCTAAACATTGCGGTGATGATTGATTATTTTCAACCGGTACGGATGTTTTTAGGCTTTTCTTGTTTTATTGAAAATTGTTCCCTGATATTTGTTCAATATTTTTTATTTACAAATTGTATTATCTGTTTTTTTCCCACAAAATGTATGTATGTATGTGTGTGTGTGCGTGTGTAGTCTTGTGTCAAAACTAAGCAAGGCTAAAGAAAGAATGAAAGAAATAAAGAAGGAAGAGGAGAGTTTAGGAAAGAAAGAAGTAAAACCAGAAAGAAAGAAAGAAAGAAAGAATGAATGAATGAATGAAAGAAAGAAAGAAAGAAAGAAAGAAAGAAAGAAAGAAAGAAAGAAAGAAAGAAATACTTTGAGCCTTGACGTTGATATGTATGTCCGGATGAGGTAATTTTCAGTGCCTTGTCTTGCTTTTGCCCAAAGCGACGGAAGAGTTGCTGATTTTGCGTTTGAGGCTAGAACCCTGCAGCAAAAGGAATTTGGACTTTTTGTCGGTTTCTTGAAGATTAAATCCCTAAGAGCATAAAAATGGTCTAAGGTCCAAGATAAACAAACCTATAAAGTCATCGGTTCCTACCGTAGAATAATGGTTTTTGAGCGCGTTTCACATCCTCAATGACAGCTCCAGAATTGTGGCCCTGAGCGAAACGATGCTAACTTTAGTATGAACGCATAAACACTTACACACACGCATATATATATATATATATATATATATATATATATATATATATATATATATATATATATATATAGTCACATAGAGAAATAAAGTATAAATGTGTATTTTGAGATTTTCTATTCTCAGTATCATTAACAAGTAAATTCGGTCTGTTTTATGTTTTAGTAAATATCTCCTTTCTAATTCTTGCAAAAAAGCCAAAGGGATTACGACTTTGAAAATGGAACAACACAATGATTTGATTTTACTCTAGTAAAAAAAAAAACATTCAATGATAACAGCAAAAATTGCAATATGAGCACTGGTAAAAATGGTTGCTGAAGACATTAAGTTTATAAGTCCCAAAAATTCATACGGGGATGTCCTTAAGGACACATGTCATAGTGGATAAAGACGCTGGTTAGATCCAGTGACAGGACCCAAAGTCTTGTGAGTTCAATACCTGGTTAAGTCAGTGGAGAACTTGGAGGGGTGATTTAACAGGAGATGACTGACATCCATTAGACATTTCACGTGGAACTGCAGTGAGCGAAATAAAGGGTTCAGTTCGACATTCCAACCACCTGAAGAAGCGTAAAACGGCCGAAACGTTGTGATAAATATGGCAACAGAGATGGGGACAATAGTCTGAATAATAAGAGTAGTTTACCCACATTTTTCTCAGTTTCTTTTGCCTTTCTTTTCTTCTTTCATGTCGCAATCTAAACAGATTGTTTAATTCTATCTTCTCTTGTCTTTTGTCTGTTCGTCTCTCTCCTCCTCCTGTCTGTCTCTCTTTTTGTATCTCTGTCTGTCTGTCTGTCCCTACATATCGCTGACTACTTGTTTGTCTCTACCTTCTATTCGTGTGTCTTTATGTAGATACGTTTTATTGTTTGTCTGTCGCTATTTTTAAAAATCGGTATCACTCCATGCAAGTCAGTAAAGCCACTAAGACAGAAATGGTTACAGGATGTGGAATAATTAGGAACAGAACTATTAATAACTAGCTTAAAGGCCACCTTATCGGGCTGCGTTTATGATATCTGCTGCGGAGGGCCCTTGATTGGGCCTTCATCATAATAGGTAGGGAGGAGTAGATCTAATAGGAAACAATAAGCTATAGAAGGACTCAAAATTGATCGCTGCATTTAAGTATTGATTTAATATTTAAGCTTAACTTTTAAAAGCTCAACGATAATTCTTCTGCAACTACTTTGATCTACGTAGGTCCTTACTTTCCGTACAAACAATTATTTTTATTTCATGTGTGACTTTCTCCTGGATTTTGCAATCAATTTCAATTATTCCCAAATTTATTTCCAAGTTATAAAAATTGTTATGGTACAAAAAAATTCTTCGCAAAAGCTCACGTAAAAAAATTAATGAATTTTAATGAAAACTTAGGAATCCAAAATTTTAGGATTGTGGGTTTGGATTCGGCCCGGGATGTATTTAATTTGTCCACGGAGTTGTCCTGATTCCAAAATGCTATAATATGTTGGGCTACAGACTCTAGGGGTAAATCTGAAAAATTCTGACACAGTGACACTCTGACATTCGCTTTTATTACATAGATGAGCACGAAGAGGAAGCGTAACCAGGAAGACGTTAGATAGCGATTGACGCTGCATTTAAATTCTTTCAGATTTAAGTTGGCTGGAAAGCATTCAGTTGGAAGCCTACCATTCGTTCATACATTGAATATTCCTGTCACATCTGATCTGGTGCATCTGCTATATATTTAGAGATTCTTGATAAAACACAAAGAAGAATCTACCATGCTAATGGTCCTGAACTAGCATCTCGGCTTCAATCACTTACCCATCGCCTTAACTTAAATTCCTCGTACTTTTTTAATAGATATTTTCATAGTAATTTTTCTGATGAGCTTTCCTCTTTGCTACCTAGATTTTATCAATTGAAGCATATTACTAAACTAGTGGCAAGTTCTCATGAACTTACAACTAAAATGGCAAGATGTAACCGTAAATTATATGCTAACATTTTCTTCTCTCGAACTCCTCGCTTGTAGAACTCTCTTCCGGCTTCCAGTCAAATTTATCTTCTCTCTTCTTAATTCCTGTTCTTTTATAGGTCTTTCTCCATAATAATGTTTTATTTTCTCATATTCTTACACACTGAATAACAAAATGAGTCTTTGTGGTTTATTGCCTTGCTTAGGGCGTAATGATTAAAAGCAACAAAAAGATAACGCCAATCCTATCAGTGTTTTAACTTCTACTAATTTATATATTTGAGTTTGAATTTGTTTTTATGTCGATATTTTAACATGAATTAGTGTTAAAATGTCAATATAAAAACAAATTCAAATTTCCATAATATAGTTTTATTTCAATTATCTGTTCAAAATCACTCCTCTCTAAATTTTCAAATGTCGTCAAAAAAACCCAAAACTAATTCTAATTTCCATATTGAAATTCCCCCACCTCTAAAACCTTTTTATACTATATTTGGAGCAGGATTTTACAAGTACTGTAATGTTATGAAGCCTAGCATTTTTTTGTAATTCAGTACATTAGCAGTTACAAAAAACCACGAATCACAAAGAATAAATAAAATATTAAAATATATGTAAATTAATGGGAATTGGTTCTTCGCTTTGCGCCGTTTCGGATAACTGGGGAAATCTGTATTAATGTAGGTCTTTTGAAAAAGCAAAGTGGTGTAAAGCGAATTTTCAGAAAAGCAGACGATATAGAGATATATAGTATTTGACAGCATATAAGACGCGCAGGTGTATAAGACGCACCCAAATTTCAACAGGGCAAATCAAGAAAACAATAGTAATTAGTAAAATTAGTAAAATTATTAGTAAATGTTACAGCCTAGGCTATATTTATGAGATATTATTTTTGTTAAACAAGCCATTATTACAATTAAACGAAAAATAATAGGGAAAAAAGAACAAGAGCCTATAAAACCTTTATTATATCCAAAGGTAAGAAAACAAATTAAAAATCAAGCAATTATTACAATTGATCAAAACAGTACAGTTACCATTAAAATTTTATTCATCTTCAAATTCATAAAATTCGTTGTCTTCATTATCAAAACTCTGATATTCATTTTCAATACTATTATCATTGTGGTTAAATAATGCATCGTCTTCTGTTCCACCGGGAGCATTGCTAATGCCCCATTTTTTTTAAAGATTTCACAACAATCTCTAGACTACTATTATCCCAAGTTTGCTTCTCTCATTCTCAGACTTGTACAATGCTGGGTCTTTTTATTCTTCCTATGAGTGTAAGGTCGTAATCAGGCATTGCCATCCACGTGAACCATTGCTCCTTCATGTTTAAGACTAAGCTAATAGGAGTTGCCAGTAGCTAATTTCTGCCGACTATCGCGAATTTAAAACCTACATATGGCATATAAGACGGAGGGGAAATTTAAAAGATTTTTAAGAAAAATAAAAGTTCGTCTTATATGCCGTCAAATACGGTAGTTAGCAAAGCAATGAGTAACAAAAATGTAAGGATTTTTCTTCATGAATCCTATTTGATGGGTTTAGGGTTAAAAGAAGAAGAGTCTTCCTCAAAACGGAATAAAGGGATTTCCGTTGTTGGACAGGTACGAATGAAATATGCCAAATATTCGAATAAGGCATAAACAGAGTTTCGCAAATATCGACGACGTACGAAAAAAAATGTCTTACAAAAGATTACCAAAAGAATGAATCATCACTGATTTTTTTTTCTATAAAATATATTTTCTCGTCAAAGTTATTTCATCAAAGCTAAAATCACGACAGGTTTATTCTATGTGCCTGGAGTACGTGAGAAAGAAATGCCAACAGAAAATATAGCAAACAACTTCAATTGTTCTCGGCTGCTTGCATTGTTTACGCCGATGAAGAATCTACAAGAATCTACAAGCAAGGACACATACACACAAACACAAACAAATATATTTATGACTTCAAACGTTATTTTTTGTTGAAGCCCGTATTTGAGTTGAGGCGCCGTGTTTTGTTTTAAAGAGAATTTATTTCGTCTACAGGCCTTCAGACTCGATAAAAGAACTTATTTTATAAAAAGTTCTCTGCGGTAGAATTTGAAGAAACCAACGCCTGATTTGGCGTGCTTTAACTGCTCGGTTACGATGACCTTCGCAATCAAGCAAGGTTCTTTCTGCTTTTAAAATGTGCTCACTCGTTCAGATTACTCGATAGGCATATCTGCTCAGTGTTGCATCCGAACAGTAAACAAATCAATTACTGAAGAATTAATGGATATCTTAAATTCTTTAATCCGGCACATTTCAAGCGTTATTTTTAGTGAATAACCATATTTGAGCAGATCCTCCGTTAATTTCTTAAAAAAAGATATATATATATATATATATATATATATATATATATATATATATGTATAGATAGATAGATAGATAGATAGATAAAAGATATAATATATATATATATATATATATATATATATATATATATATATATATAAATTTCAAGAGGATAGAATCCAGGTAGGTATGATGATTTGGATCGTGATTACGATTCCAATGCAATAAATTATAACCCTGGAATATTAGTGTTTGAGCCTTTATATATATCTATATATATATATATATATATATATATATATATATAGATATATAGATAGATAGATAGATAGAGATAGATAGATAGATATGTATGTATATATATCTGAATTCGGCAGATATATGGCTCTACAGAAGGATGCTGAGAATACCATGGAAGGAGTGCGTAAGCAAGGGAGAAGATTTAAAGAAAATGGAAAGAAAAATGACATTGTT